CGCTACAACTTTTCAGGCCGGCCTCAAATTCATCATAAGATTAAAACTCGGCTCCTGCGCAAAACGCCTTTTTGCCCGAAGTGATCCCGGTCTCTACCCAGCCTGAGACGAGTCACGAGTGAGGCAGGACAGGAAGCCGGATTCACGAGTCACAGGAAGTCGGAAGTGATGTCATGCTGGACAAGAATCAGAGTCCGAATAACATTTTTTCATATTCGGACTCGAGTCCGAATAACCACTTCATTAGAAAACAGGAGGTTTAAAATACATGCGCTGTCATTAAGGCACCTGGTTTCGTCTCAAATACAGATACTTTAGGTACTGCACACTAAAAATGTATATTTACAATTCAGTAGGCCTATTTTTTGTAAATGGTCAGTCTAGCCATCATATTAAGAATAAGTACGGCTAGACTGCGAGTCTAGCCGTACTTAAGTACGGCTAGACTGCCAGTCTAGCCGTCATTAAGTACGGCTAGCCTCTTCCCAGTTATTTTCAAGAAAATTTCAAACCAAACCGTAAAAGTAAAATAACCGAGATATTGAAATAATTGAATATTGAAATAAATTCTAGAGGCAGAGGCCTACGTCCCTACGAGGTTGTAACGAATTACGTTTTTAATGTATGTTCGTTCATTTTTATGCAAATTAACTGTGTGATTTAACTTGATCTGTAAAAAGAAGAGTTTCATCTTTCGTTTCAAGTAAATTTTGTATAACAATAATCCTCTAGATCTAACCCCATGCTTCAAAATCATATGTAGCACACACACAGTCACCCGGGCAAATAATAAGGCACTGTGTGACTGTAGTATTTTACTTTCACCACCGACTCAGGCTAAGGTATTGTATTATTTCGGGTTTCTTTTTATCCATGTTTTACACAAATATTGACTTATATTCGTCGCAAATTATGTTTTCGAAACATTTCCTCCCAATGTCCTCCTCACATTGATATACCTCTCTCCTCCTTTTTGTTGGTAAAATACCCTTTTGTTTCTGCCTGTCTCTCTTACTGTTCCGCAGCACATTTGACCATCATTAAATGAAATCTTGTGGAGAAGTTTCTCTTCCTCCCCTTATTCAACCCAACCTACACCCCCCCCCCCCCTGTCCAGTGCAATTGACAAAAGAACATCCTTTAAACAGTGTTCTTGCTGTTTACAGGTGTGACTAAGTGATGAGTCGTACAGCGCTGTTGTTGGTGATATAACTTTGACTTTGTCCACCCTTCACGTCCGAGTTCTGTGGAACCCAGGAATTTCCTTGGAGACTTGAAGTTGAAACCTTCCCACATGGCTGAAGGTAAATTGTTGTCGATATATGTATAATATGTAATTGTTTACAGCCCAGTTGACACAGTTTTGAGCATTTAGGAGGCTGACTGCCTCCCAGCAAACAGCCTGAGATTTTTTGGAATGGTAGTTTACTGGGCATTCATATCCTGTTTTTCAGCAGAAAGTATTTTAGGTGACACCGTATCACCTGTGGTGGTCCAGTGAGGCTGTTTGCCGTGTGGCCCAGATGGCGGGATTCTGGTCGAGAGAAATCTAGACCTGGCTGGCCCTGACAGACAGACAGAGTTGGAGCAGCCTGCTTCCTAAATGATCTGAAATGTGCTGGATCAAAGGGGGCGGAAAAAAACCCCAAAACGTTCACAATCAGTTAGAGGTTTTGTGATTGTTGTATTGTGTTGATGGGGACGTAACACATTTGATAGAACATTCCAAATATCTGAAAACACAAATAAGCAGAAATTTAAACAACAGATGCTTGGTTGGGATGTATATCATTTGCAATAATTTTTTTATTTTATTAATTTTTTTGTTTCAGATGGCTTCAATGGAGGCCATGAAGATTCTGGAAGGAACGACTCAAAAAATGTGCTGATCATAATGCAGGTTTGTTGTGTGGCACCTCTGGTTGTGCTCCTGTTTTGTTTTTTTGTTTTTCCCGCTGTTGTTTCTGTTGACCTGTCTTGCTTTCTTGTGTGTGATAAACGACAGCTGTTGTTTCTGTTGACCTGTCTTGCTTTCTTGTGTGTGATAAACGACAGCTGTTGTTTCTGTTGACCTGTCTTGCTTTCTTGTGTGTGATAAACGACAGCTGTTGTTTCTGTTGACCTGTCTTGCTTTCTTGTGTGTGATAAACGACAGCTGTTGTTGTGTGGCTGTGCTTTTCTTGACTCAAACAAATGGATGTCGTGGATGGCGTAGTTGTCTCAGTCTGGGCCGGTATGTCACTCGGAAAAAATCATTTTAAAAAAAGGGAAATTTTATTTACTTTCGGAAACAATTTTGTAGAACAAAAAATTTAATTGTGGTAAAGAGCAGGAAAAAACGGCTATTTAAAAGGTTCCAAGCAGAGAAAGCAGCCGGCCTCCTAAAGTATCTGAATTGCTTCAATAGGGTCGTTGCACAGGTACAATCAGTTGACCGGACCTGCTGGCGTGTTTGCTGAAGTCTGCCAGCCACAGATGTGTTGTTGTTTTTTTCTCCCATATTATATTTTTCTTTTTTACTTCATGTTTTTGTTTTAATTTAATTAATGTGGGTGGTTGGCGGGTGCTCTAGTGTGGTTTGCTCCTTCTTTCCTATCGAACATCTATCGTCTTTATCTCCCCTCCTTCTTTTTTGTGTTTGTTACTCTCTTGTAACACCTCTAATCTTCGGCACTTATATGACCTTATTGTGTTGCAAGTGCCGTAAAACTCTTACTAAGACTAAAACTAAATTAATGTTCTTGTGTCTCCCCACCCGGCATCCCTCTTCCCTCCGTGCTCGGTAGGGTGACAACGAGAACTCTGCGGCCCAGAATGCCTCCCAGCCTGTGATGACCTTCACCCATGAAGAGGCCTTGTCGCTAAACGAAACGGCAACATTTATGCCCATGCCGCCGCCGCCCCCAGCCAGGAAACAGCCAGACATTGTGCTAGACGTTGTGTCGGAGGAGCAGGGGTGAGTGGGGGGGGGGTGGGAGGAGAGATGACCTTGTGCTTAGCGTTGTGTCGCA